GACGTTCTACGTTGCTAAGACGCGCACCACTGTACCACGTATTTCTATGGGCTCTGTGCGCGCTGCTGTGGAACGCCAGTGGAGCCGGTGAAAACTCGAGCAAACAACACAAACTCAACTGTGAAGTAATCCTGAACAACCAAATTCATATATGTTACACACGTAGGGCTAATCTTGTTACACTGTTCAGGGGACTCTCAACAACCATCGCAAAGTACCGTTTTCTGCGAAGTTTTTGGTCTTTGTTTTCACCGCAAGGGTTGCCAGGCGGTAGAAAATGCCCGGATGTCCGCCCCCGAGAATACTGACGCAATTCTTCGGAAATTCCCGAAGACTTTCCGGTAACGCAATGCGGAAGTGAATTATTGATGTCGAAGTACGATCTGTTGGAATTGATTTCAGCGAATAAACGACATGGTTTTTCCAAAAAATAGTAACTAGCCATTTTTGAGAGGTAAACTGAATATGGCATGAAATATTTACCGCATTTTACTTGTATTAACAGGTCATTGTCGAAGCGTAGTTTACGCACGGTTACCGTGTTCTACGCATTCACAACATGTTCACAGCGGTCGATATCCACGCTGTATCATATAAAAACGATTACCAAGATTCATTACGCAAGACCAAGTTTCAAATTAGTTGCATTTTGAAGGGGTGGGCGCTTTGCCGAATGTGACCCCAAATATAAAAATTGCGCAAAAGTGGGGGGTGGGCGCTTGCCCGGGCATGGGCGCTAACGCGGTCGAGTATGGTATTTGTACCCACATTTCATGTAACTTTGTGATGAAAATAGCAAACCAACAATTAAATATTCGATAAACTGTCAACATACTATATAACTACTATCACCACAAAGTTTTCCAATTTCGCGGATCAATGTTTACAGGAGTTGAAGAAGACTTCAAAGCTTGGAAGGAGATGTTCCTCCAAAAAATGCTGCCATTCTTGCAAGGAACACCAGGTTGTCAAGATGATGATGATTGCCATTGTCACGGTGATGTGAATAAAGAGGTAATGACATAATTTGATTTTATGACCACCATGCTCTAATTGGGTATGGGTGCTATGTATCAAAAATAAATCTTTCATGGTAACAATATGAATAGTTGATACTTGGTTATTGATCTTTTTAACTTAAGTCATCGAGCATTCAGGAATAATGTTCTGCATTATTGGGGGAGGGGGTATTTTCAAATACCAATCTCAAATCTGTAAACTCAATATTCTCCACAAATGTTAGTCTTTAGATGTCATAGATGAAAAACGTTTTTTTGTTGCCAGGCAACATATGAAACATCCAGTGATGAAGGTGAAGATTTGGATAATGATGGAGAAGAGAGACTGAGGAAAACTGATGGGGTGGTGGATGTAGAGGATCTTGGTGCAATGATGGGACAGATGGAATTATCAACGGTAATTACTGATTTCTGTTATTTCATTTAAAGTAGTAAGATAGTTTATTGGCAAGGGTAATGCTTATCTTCAAATTGAAAGAAGGGCGTACGTGAAACCACCAAACCTATATATATTAAGGAAGACCCAGGTTTAAAGTTTAAATTAATATTATTTTTTTCAATATTGTGTTTGTTATATGGCCACATGACCTCCAAAATCAATAAGTCTGGTAAATTTGTAAAGTGGATGGATAAAATTGAAAATGGCGGCACCACTATGATGACAGTGACCCCGAAAGTCACGTTATCATAGAAAGGAGGTCTTAGCTTGGAGTGAGTGACATTATATAGTTCTTGTACCATACTTCCCATCAAATGTTTTACTGTAAAACCATTTATTTTCACTGCCATTTAATTTCACTAGTTTGATGTTTTGAACAATTTCACTGTGTTGATGAACTTGGCAGAGAAACGATAAATTTATTGTTATTTCAACGTTCATATGAATTTATTTTAGCTGATTTTACTTGAATATAGTGAAATTAAAACCTAGTGAATAATTAATGTATACTGTATAGTTTGACGATCTATTTGTTCAATGTCATTCTGCATGTCAAGTATTTAACGTAGCAAGAGCAATTAGTAAAATTTGTGTTATATGCCTTATGTGAATATGGTATAAGGCAAGGCATCCATAGTTTTGCTATGTTTATATTTGTAGGTTGATACAGAAATGGAAAATGGCGTTGTCATGGTGAACGGTGGTGTAGCAAGAAAAGCAAAAAACAAAAAAATAGAGGCCAAAGAAATGATGACACCATTGCTGAGACAATCACTGACTAAACAAGGTTAGTTATACTGCCATGTGACAATCACTGACTAAACAAGGTTAGTTATACTGCCATGTGACAATCACTGACTAAACAAGGTTAGTTATACTGCCATGTGACAAGATTTATCGTGACCAGGAATGACTTTGGGAATTTTTGAAGACAAAATTACATTTTTGTTGTTCTGCTGTGCAGGTTACAAACTTATTGGCAGCCATTCAGGGGTGAAGCTTTGCCGATGGACTAAGGTATGTTCAAAGTATTTCTTGGTTGACTTGCATGACTTTGTAGTAATCACATACGTTTTTACATATTATTGGCATAAGCATTTACTAAAATTATTTTTTTCAAAGTGTGTCATACCGACCAAATTTTCTATGTAAGTTGGTGGATGAAATTTCATCCAATCTCAACAGTTCACATGGTGATGAGGAAATTTTTTATATAACACTCAACATTAAAGATCATAATAGTTATATAAATGGGGAAAAAAAAAAATATTTGCTGTATTGTATTTATCTGAAAGATTGACCAGGGCGATGTTTTAATCATTTTTTCTGGCACCAAAAAATCACCCAGATGCTTAAACATAACCCATGTGTGATCTGACGCTGTGCAGTACCAGCAGTACAATGTATCAGTGCAAGTTTGCATAGCGCTCCATCATACTGGTGTATTTATTATCAGTAAAATGATCTAGAATTGGTTTCATCTCACCTATCCATAAGTTGCGAATTTCTTACCTTATTTTTATCATATCATGTTATTTCAGAGTATGCTAAGAGGGCGAGGTGGTTGTTATAAACATACATTTTATGGTATCGAGAGTCACCGGTGCATGGAGACAACACCAAGTCTAGCATGTGCTAACAAATGTGTGTTCTGTTGGAGGTGAGTTGCCCCTCCATTCATAGCTGTCACCCTTTTATTTGAATACATCTTTATTCTTTTCAACTGTTGGGTCCGGCAATTTCTGAGGACTTAATTTTGCTTTTTATAACTCACTGTCATAAACATTTACATCTCAGCGAATCAATCATTAGACTTTACCTTGCTGGGGTACGTTTTAGATATATAGAGGCTGGGGTTTCCAACCCCTGGCAGTGTCATGCAGGAGAACCAATGGTACGTGTTAGGATGTCACTTTTGATGGTAACACGAAAGCTTTCCTTCGCTTAAAATCTTCCAAGACAGATCCCTTTCGGAAGGGAGTTATCGTTAAATATTTCAAGAACAGTCGCATGTGCCCAGTTGACACTTTGCATTACTATCTGTCTTTGAGGGTAGCCATGAAACCTACACCTTCACTTTCTGACCCCCTTTTTGTCTCGGAAAATAATTTACCTCTTACTCGTGTAGTTTTTCTACAATACCTGCGTAGACTATTGTGTTCCCTCAGCTTAGACTCATCTAAGTATTCAGGTCATTCGTTACGGATTGGGGCGGCTACTTCGGTGGCAAGAGCCGGCATACATGACCACATGATAAAAACTCTTGGCCGGTGGTCCTCTGATACTTATAACCGTTATATTCATTCATCTGATGGCACTCTTAGCGCAGCACATGCAATATTGGGTGGTAGCTACTAACTCTTTTCGTATCTGGATCAATTATTTCAGTTTGATTCATAAGGCTCAGGCTT